GAGTGGGGGCTTGTTTTCTGGGTGAGGCAGCCCTGGAGCCAGAAAAGGGTGCATTGGGCAGTGGGTGTCCAGGATGCAGGCAGCAGGCAGGAGGCTCTGCACATGGAGCATCCTGCCGCTGTGCCCTGGGACAGCCCTGCCCCTTCCCGGAGCCCTCTGTGTGCTCAAGGAGAGGGTGCCGCTGTGCCCTATCACCTTGGAGTTGGAGGCACCCCTGGGGGCCTGGAGGGGGTCGGGATGGACAGTGGCCAGCCAGGACCTCTGCACCTCAATCTTGCTGGGTCCCCATTGCTCGGGCCAGGCCAGCCGTGTGGGGGAGCAAAGCTGACGGGCTGGAACTGGGGGGCCAGGACAGCCCCGCACCCGCCATCCCACAGAGCCACGTTCTCAGGGTGTCAGGGAAGCCAGGTGCCCAGGTTTTGTATTTTGAATGTGAAATGTAACCGCACCGTCACCTCGATTTAAGCAAACACACAGCCAAACACACTGCCACCGTCTGCAGGGGACTCTGGGGTCCGCCCTCCCACCACCACCACAGGCACCTGTGCACCTGGCCAGGTCCGCCCAGCCCTCTCCCAGGTGGGCGACCTGTGGGTCCTGGGGGTGTCAGTCTCTGCTCAGCTGCTACGGGGCACCCTCGCTCGGGTCCTGTGGCTCTCAGCTCTGCACACCCCTCTCCAGACCGTGACCCCCAGGCAGACAGGCTCGGGAAGAGCAGGCAGGGCTCCCAGGAGCGCCCCTCTGTCCTGCAGGGAGGACCTGCCCCTGTCGCTCTGTCCCTGGGCAGGTACAGCTCAGCAGCACCCTGGGAAGGGCCTGACCAGGAGGTCCCAGTCCCGCCTGCCGCTTCTCCCACCCAGGGAGATCCAAGGCCTGGGGAACTGTGCGTCTAGACCATATTTAAATCTTTCCAATTAGTTGCCCTCCCCCACCGGCCTGCTGCCCTGCCCCTCACCCTGCTCCCACCAAGTTCCCAGGGGTGAAGAGGGGTGGGTGTTCCTGGTCCCACCCCCTTGGCCTCTCCTAGGCCCTCACTCACTCGCCAGGCCACAGCCACCAGCAGGGCCACTGCCTCCTCTCAGGGAGAGGCGGGCAGCAACACCCTAAGTGAGATGTGGCCCACAGACGGCCAGCAGGGAGTTGGCACTGGCCGTGCAGGGACGGGAAGGGCCGGTGTCTGACCCGTCTGTCCCTTCATGACCCCAGACACAGGGGTGGCTTTTCCTCATGGCTGGCAGTCCCTGCCCTGCAGCCAAGCCACTGCCCAGGCCGGGGTGGCCACCCACCAGCTCTGTGCCCCTGGGTGCCCACCTGCAGCCTCATGCAGGGCTGGCTCAGGTCCGGGCCACGGTATGGCTCTGGGCGGGGCCCCCTTGGTATGCACCGCCTTCGTATGCACCACCGACCTGCGCTCCGTGTCTCCCACCTCCCAGCCCTTGAGCCGGCCCCCAGGCTCCCCTCCTGCTGCTCTCCTCACCCCAGCTGCAGGTGCTCCTGCTCAGAGGCCCTTTCTCCCCCGACCCAGCCAAAGCCCCCACATCTCCCCCAGGGTCCCACAGCAGCCTCCTGGCCGCCCCACCGCTCCCCACACCCCTTCGCACAGCCAGAGACGTCACGAGCCTGCCTGTAGCCCTCTGAGCTCCGCGGCCCTGAGCTGAGGGACAGGGCCCTACGCCCTCAAGGTCCCACACTCAGACCAGGCGCAGCGGGAGCTCTCCAGTCCCCCCAACTCTGCCAGAGCCGCACGGCCCACTGGGGTTCCCTCCCAACCCCAGGGTGCCGCCCACGCTGCCCGTCCCACCCACACACTCCCTGCTCCTACCTCAGCCTTCGTTCAGGTGGGTGCAGTGGTCCTCTGTGGAGAGGAACCCTCTCCCCGCTCCCAGGGACACTCATCCTTCCTATTTAGGACCGTGAGCGTGGCGTCTGTCCACCGCAGTGGAGCGCAACCTGTGGGAGCAGGTGTTCCCAGTCCTCATTCCGGGCCTGGTTAACTGCGCCTTGCTGAAGGAGCCACACCTGGCCTGGGGTGGGTGCCAGATGGAACCCAGGCCTGTGAGCACAGCCCAGCGCGGTCTCGTGTGCTCAACTCCAGTCTGGTCGCTGCCAGCCTCATCCTCGGGCCTGGCTGCCGCAGGACAATGCCATGAATCATGCAGACGTTTCCATTACCCGGGAGATGCGTGCATGGCCCGAGCGGGCTCATCCACCCCAGCCTGGCCGGAAGCCAGCCCTGTGCTCATGGGAGCTGGGCAGGCACAGACAGAGGGCCGCAGAGTGGGCCCACGCCCGTCTCCACAGGGGCAGAGGCCCCACACCGGGGGTGTGGCGGGAAGCCTGGGGCTCCCTTGCACCAGGACTGAGCACACAGGGCGCTCCGGCCGAATGCATACCAGACAGGGCCCGCCCTGCACCTCACGTGCCCTGCACCTCACGTGCCCTGCACCTCACGTGCCCTGCACCTCACGTGCCCTGCACCTCACGTGCCCAGCACAGGGGCGGGGCTTGCGAGGCTGTTTGCTCCCCCTCCCCCTGCGTGCCCCCAGACCTTCTCAAGGCTGTATCCGGCCTCTTCCCAGAGGCGGAGGACTTGTGGCCCCAGGGCCCACGTCCTTCTACCTCGTTCCCTCGTGACAGTGGCCCCATCCAAGACGCCCACACCATAATGACAACCACTCATGTGATTATTTATTTAATGTTTTTCTTTAAGCCAGTTCTCTCTTTTTACTGAAATGCCTATTTTGGTTTCACCCTAAAGCATAACGTCTGAATTCACTGAGGTGCCTGTTACACATTATTTTCTAATACACATTTACATAAACACAACTATTAAAATAGATTAAAATTTTGCCTGTGTGTCAACTAAGTCATCTCTCGGACCTCCTGGGGCTGGCTGGCAGCTTCAGAAGGACCCTGGGCAACCATAAAGAGCTGAGATGCCTGGCGGCCAGCCAGATTCCACCCACATCCTGGCAGCCCTGTCTGGGTGGCTCCTTCCTGCCTGGGCCAGAGCCCAAACTGGCCCTGACATTCAAGACCTTCCTGACTGGGTCAGTCTCCCTCCCAGGCCCCCTGAGCCCTCCCAGATGGCCCTCAGTCACACCGATTAATGAAAAATGATTCACAAGTCACACACTTGTAATGCAGAAGGAGTGAATGTACCGCCCGCCTGGCATCCCCAGGAACCTGGGGCTTCAAACTCCAAAGTCCCCATCTCCCCCCCCTGTATCCAACCCTAACCTGAGGACATGGCCACTGTCCCCTCCTGCCACGCTCGCCCCTCCCACCGAGCATCAGATCCACCCGCCGGGTCCCAGGCCACTCTGCTAAGCCAGAGCCCTCTCTTTAGCTTCCGGTGTGGCTGGATGAAGACAGCAGCCCTTCTCATCTGCTCTGTGCGAAGCCTGGCGTCTTCCCAGGTGCACATCAGCTCGCCCTGGAAGCAGCTCTGCTCCGGGGCGGACTCCGAGCCCCCGGCCAGGCGCCATGTGGAGCTGTGTCCGCCCTGCAGCCTGTCCCACCACCCTCCTCCTCCCCACACCTCTGTCTGCACTCGCGTTGTCTCCTCGGCCCTCTTGCTGGCCTGGCGCCTCCACAGCCTGCGTTCTGGCCTAGTGTCATTACCCGGAGGGAGCCTCTCTGACTACTGCCCCCCAGGGGCTCCTGTCAGCCTCAGCCCCGCTCCTCTGGGCCACTACAGAGCACCAGTGAAGCCTGCATCCCTGCCGGGAATCAGCCTGTTCACCTGCCACCTTTAGGAGGCAGGCAGAGGCACGATCTTCACTCACTGGAAGGGGAAACGGAGACACGGAGAGGCCCAGCAACACGCCCACGGTCTTAATCCGGGAGACAGAGTCTGAAGCAGGCAGTGTGCCCCTGAGCAGGGCACCGTGGCGCTCTGCGCTCAGAGCTATAATCGTCCGTCTTACCGTCTGGCCTGCCCCTCCGAGGGCCTCTGTGCCCTCCCGTAGCGCCTGGCACAGAGTATGGGTACGGTGAGTCCCAGGATGGATGATGGATGGATGGTCGAATAAACAGGGTGGTGGTGCACAGAAGGGTGAAGGATGCAGGATGGAGGACGGGAGGATGGATGGGCGGGTGGTGATCAGGGGGTGGATGAGTGGTGTGGATGGACGGGTGAAGAGCGGTTCTACTTGGTGGAAAGCTCTAGAAACCCTTCTGGGAAGGAAAGCCTCTTGGGAAACGGAAGTTGGAGTCGGGCGTCCTGGTTTGTACCCAGCTCTGCCCTTGCCAGCTCTGTGGTCTCAGGCAAGTTTCCTGTCTGTTACCTCTCATTCTTACAGTGGGAATCGGTCCTGTTCTACGTAAAGATGGCCCGGACACCAGGCATAGCGTTTCCGTGGGGGTCCCAGCCCAGGGTGTGGGTGGGGGACCCCTCTTTGCCCACCCTGGAATCCAGGGCAGCACTGCCAGCCCGTGTCCATCCTGCCTGTCCCTTAGGCCCAGGCTGGCCTGGCCTTAGCACACATGGGCTCTCACTTGCAGGACCCGTGGGGTGACAGGGATGACAAGGCAGCTACAGTCCCAAGTTCCATACACTGCAAGAAGCCAGGTCCAACGAGCATTTATTGAAGCCCTGCTGTGGCCTCCTGCGGTGCCAGCCGCTGCGCCCACTGCTGTGGCCCCCTGCGGTGCCAGCCGCTGCGCCCGCCCCCCCGCCCCCACAGGCCCTGTCCTTCTGGACACCTTCTCAGCGCCCGGCTGGTTCGCAGGTGCCCAGCATTTGGTGGCC